AGTGTGTTGAGAAGTAATGGGACAATTCTGCACCGCTCTAGATTCCCTGACCCACCTGCCCCTCCCTGCTGAGGAAAGCTTGCCGGTAAAAAAAGGAAACTGTAAAAATAAACGAGCGGAGGCCCTTCACTAGAGACGCCAACCAGACAGGAAATGACACGCGGCACAAAAATGGTCTCCAGTGACCTCTGGCTGGAGCCAAGGTGCCAGTCAACCCCTTTTGTTTTTCCCAACAGGACTGAGGAGTCCCTGCACGTTTATGTTTGTTCTGTCCTGAGGCCATGGCTCATGTTGAGAAACATGTCATTAAAGTTATAGATGTTGGCGCTCATGGTTGTGTTCCTCCATTACACAGAAACACACAGAGGAAAGTCTTGATTCCAGTCTGGTGATAATGAGTGGTTATTCCCTGGATTGGGTCATTTTTCCCAGCTCCCTGGGACTAAACAATGTCACTGGAGCACTCCAGGTCCCGCTGCTGTGATCCCAAAAATGAAGCACTTGATGTCTGGAGGTGTTTACATGTCTTTATTATTAACCTCTTGCTGCCCTGCAAGTAAGACCTTACTGTTTGTCCTTGGATGTTTGGCAGTGATGTTTTTGCTTTGATTTTCTTTTCTTTTTTTTATCAACACCCTTACCCTCTTGCTTGGTGACAACTGTTGTCATCAGTGTCAAGGCCAACGAGCTGCGTAGCCGCGTGCCCTCTGGAGCAGGCGAACAAGTCATCACCTAAGTGTGAGGGACCGCCACGGAAGCAGCCTCCACCATAAAGCTCTCCTCTGTTTGTGATAACCTTTAAAAATAACCCTCGGAGTGTGGACAGGCGGTGAGAGTCTACTGCCCACGTTTTGAGCGGTGGTAGGACGCAGTCCGTGGTCCAAGTTTCTTCTACAGGCGCTCCTTCAAATTCCGCAGCCTAGTGATAAGTGTATCACAAGTGAGTGGGCTGTTAACACACTGTGTCCTTTCATGGTTGGTAGGAAATGCAACTTTTTGCAGTGGCTCTTCTGGTGGAACATGAGGTTCACTCTTCAGTGGTTCTGCCCAGTTTGATGTGTTACCTGATTTAACCTCCACATGGCACACAGTCACCACAAGTTCATTAGAGTTGACTTGACGAGAACCGTTTTATTTCATTTTATTTTATTTTCTGAATGCACGTTTGTAATTCATTTTTTTCATTGTTATCTTTATTTATTTATACTTTAATATCAAGGTATATTTTACTGAATAACAGATGGCAGCTGTAGTAGTTTTCCCCATGTTTCAGGTGATTCTCCTGAGATATTACATTCAATGGCATCACGTCAGTATAGAACCATGCCTTCAGTTGACTTAAAGGTTTCAATTATATTGAAATAGATTTTTTTCCAGGATTCCTCCAGGCTTGCATTTCCATGAGTTGGTTCTTTACCATTTTAAAGCACCTTTTGGCATATGCCAATTATACAATGTTATTTCTTTAAAAAAAATATGCGTTAGCCTAGTGGGTCATAATCACAGGGTCGTGGCCCAAACTTGGGCTGTCAAAGCCACCTAGAGGGCCTCAAATGCCTCGGGACTACATAGGTTAACATTTGAGCACCTGGGATATGTTATCTATGAGAAGTTCAGTTACAATGCACATGGTGGCGGTAATGCATCAGTCAGTTCTTTAATTCTAATATACAGAGAACAAAACTTTTCTCTACTCTAGCATCAAAACATTTTGTGTAGGTACAATCCTGACTTCATCAAATCTAATATTTAATGGGCTGTGGGCAACTTTGTACCATAAAAATTGGGCCTCAAGGTCAAAGATTAAAACCGCTTATAATTGCCTACATTTTTAATAATTTAAAAACAGAAAACAACAACCTTGAAAAATGTTAGGAAAAAAGTGAAAAGAGAACTACACTTGGGCAGGTGGATTAACCTGACCCTTTTTAGCCCTCACCGCTAACCAGTCCAAACTTCATGGCAAATATAAGGCGGGAGTGTTCCATTGTAAAAGACAGGCTAGTTCACTATTCATGCATGTGTTGTTGTACAAGTGTGTAAGAGGAACAAAGCAAGAGGGAGGCACAGTCATCAGAGTTTGAGGAAACAGTGGGCCATACCTCATCTTTCATCAGAGCACTGATGAGACCCGAGACACGCAGAGTGGAAACAGCAGTATTGTTCTCACCCTCACCCGCCCTGGTCAACAAACCTGGCTACTGACACACTGAAATTAATTTACATCACAGGAAGCATTTACATCTCAGGTTAGGTCACTGAGCGGGGGAGATGCCCGTCTGAAACTCGTTGTCCAAAAAACATATGACGCAATGCAAGTTTAATCTTCTTCGTTCCTTTTTTTATAACGCTCTGGAAGATTGCAAAAATGTTCTGTCTGGCAAAAGCTGGCATGCACTCAACAATCTGTCTGTACAACAGACCTCTCTGCCTTGTGGTCGAAGCCAGAGCCTTTTTCTGCTCCATCATTATGACCTGTCTCCTGTCTATAATCCAGATATGAGCAATGGCTTGGTGAAAGCCTGAAACAACAGCAGAAAAACCTTGAATTGGTGACCATGTCGGCCAAAACACATGAAGCAATGTTTTATTTCTTACGGGAAGTCTTTTCTAAAATAATTTTCCTTCTCTGATTCGATCAAAAATAACTCAGCCCTTGAAAGAGGAGCATCAAAGATGGGTAGAAGATGCTTGAGGTTGTACACTTGATGGCTGAGGAACACTGCAATGATGGTTAATGTCTGTGGACAAAAGGACTAAGAATGTCCTCCAGTATTCTGTTTGCCACAGTGACATCTCAGTGAGAGGATAAATAGATGAATTTGCAGCTACCACACTTAAGATTGTGCATTCCTGTAAGGAAATCCTCTTCTATGGAAGGTCTGCTGGGAGCAGATATTTTTCAAGCTGTAGAGACGGGGACAACATTCCGACGCCGGCTGACCATGTCCTGGTGATAATGATCAGTCTCATGACTCACTCTCACCTCTCTGTTCCTACCTGGACAGTAAAAACATCTTAGATTTGAAATCGAAAGCACGTGAGGAGATGGAGGAGGGGCGGAGGGATATGTGGCTGAAGAGTTTAACATGTGTCTGGACACAGGAAGGAAGTAAGGGCTGGGCACAGAGACGTGCAGCAGATAGAATAAAACAACATCCAAAGGCAGTTTAAGAAGAATCTGTATTTTTATTTTATTATTTATTTATTATTTATTTTTGTTTTGTAGCTTATTGTTATCTTTAAGTTGAAGGAAACTCCTGCCTCCAGATCCCACCGGCCTGACTAACAGGATAAAGTCATAGAGGAGGATAGAGAGGACTGTCTGTCCTTACTGTAATGTTTCAGTCCTGGTCCCTGGTTTTATAAAATTTAAATAATTAGTGCTGTGTCATTGGCCTTTAACTAAATGTACAGATATTTGATTTATACGGAGCCCCTATAGGGACATGGGGTAAAACAAAAGAGAGAAAGTATCCCGTGCTTACGAGATACTTTCTCGTGAGTACGAGAAAGTATATCTCAGACATTTTGCCACACATACATACATAAAAAACAAAACAATCATGGACAGTACGTACCGGCATGTCATGCGTGACATATGTACTGTATATAGTGAGCATTTAATTAATGTAGGATACCTCAGTTAGACACAGGAGGGCACTGTTGTTGTTGTTGTTCTACTATTGATAACAATGTATGGAGGTTCGTGAAGGGTAAATACGTATATACGTAAATCCCCCTCATCCGTCATCATCCTGATTCTTCTGAGAGTACGCATACTAATGTAAATCTCATCCACTGAGCCCAATAATTGTAAAATCTCACCAAGCCTCAAGCCAAACATAAAGTACAATTCAACTGAATCGTGTAAACGAGCCATATTCTTGGTTCGCAGGTGGGCTTTCATCATTTCATTAATTTCAACTTTATTTATAGAGCGCATTTCGTGCACAAAGCAAACTCAATGTGCTTTACAGACATCACGTAATTACGTGAAAGTTCACGAAATACACTGGTCCCTCTCCTATCGCAGTCGTTGCGATAAGAGGGCATAACAACAGTGCCCTCCTGTGTCTAACTATGATGTATCCTACATTAATTAAATGCTCTCCATATATACAGTATATTTCACACATGACATGCCGGTATCTTAGATTACGTACTGCACATGATTGTTTTTTAAAAAATGTATTACCCTGCATGTATGTGTGGCAAAATGACAATATACTTTGTCGTGCGCAGAAAGTATCTCGTGCGCATGAGGTACTTCCCCCTCCCCCCCCCGACCCCCCCATGTCCCTTTAGGGGCTCCGTAGATTCAAGCCATATTGTGTTATTTTTTTTCATTTACTTTAATTCTTTTTTTTTTATCTGTTTAGTTAAAATTACCCTAGAGTATGCGTCAAACTCAAGGCCTAGGGGACAAATGTGGCCCCCCCAAGCTGTTTTGTATGACCCTTGGAGGATTAAAAACATTTAGTAAAGTCCATGCAACAGAATTTCTGTGTGACTTGTTAAAACCTTTTTCAATTAAAAGTTATTTTTTAATACACAGAAAATTGAACCATATTTGTAACTTAAATAATAATCAATTGCAGAAACATGTATTAATACATTATTAAGTAGTTGAATCTATACAGTCTTCCATTTCCAACTGTATTGTTGATGTGGCCCCTGGTGAGAAGAAGTTTGACACCCCTGCCACACAGTTCATCCATTATAACAGAGATAGATGTGTTTCACTTTTGGAGAACATATGCATTTTTAATGTCCTGCCTTGCTTGTGTGACTTGTTAAAAGAAAGGACAGAAATGTTGAAAGTTTTAAATTCCAGCCACAAGCACCACTCTAAGCTGAGGGAATGATTTGATTAATGCCCAGAAAGTAAAATGTCACATTTCTGCTCACGAATTTATTTTTTAGATGTGTCTTCTTCGTCATCATCATTTCCTGGTTCCTGTCCAATGGCCTGATACATTTCCTCTCTCTCTTTTTAGGGACCTCAAACATAACCTGATCAGCACCATCATACCTGGAGCCTTCCAGGGCTTGTCTGAGCTTCGGAGACTGTAAGTAGACATTAACATCACTCACAGTACATTCACTTTAGAATCAGAATCACTATAGAAACACAGACATGGAAACTTTTGATCAGATAATGGAGTTTGGGCATTGAATCTTCGTCAAACATACAGTAGGTGTCAATAAATCCAAACATTTGTGATGTTTTGGCAGTCCACTGCAGATGTTGTGTGTTATATTCCTGCTCCTGGTGTCGGTGGGACCACAAACCTCTTTGACTTAAATTATCCCTTGCTGCTGCTGATGGGGGCCATGCAGTGTCATCTCTGCTGCCCCACCATGGAAACCTCAGGCCCACAACGTGGATTCTGGCAGAAATGTTACAAAGCAGCCTCAATGCTGCGTTCACCCTTTGTGTTTTTGGATTCTGAGGTCTGGTTGCGGTGTGGGTTTAGGGTGTTTTTTTCCGCCTGCACCGTGTGACTCGCCCTCCTCCTTCTTCTCCTTGCTTGTGTTTTTGCTGAAAAGTCTGGGGTTTCTCAAAACAAACAGGGGGAGATAAACACATGCTCTGGACAGATCACTGCTGGGGAGTGTCAGAGGGGCAACAGAGCAGATCCCTCTCTGGCTGTGGCTATACATCACACTCAGGGGTGGACGGCAGAACAGGCGCCCTGCTTTTACCCCAGCCCTGATAAACTTTTACCAAGGTCCTGGAAAGTTAAAGATAAGCTAAAAGTGGCCAAAGGTTTTGGCATACTTTGTTGAAGGTTCAGTGTGTAGCACATATTGATTGGTTAGTTACCAACAGAGGGTTCAAAGGGATAAAAGGCAGCTATAGTATGGAAGCAGTCACACCCCAAAAGGATATGATTTTACATTGTGTAGTTACTTGTTTCCACAAGGCATACACATGAACACTTCCTAAAGCACAACTAACTTCTTAAAGACATTTTTTAGGTAGGAAATAATTTTTATTCTTAAAATGATTTAATGAAAATCATACATATGGGTTTATCCCATTGAAACTGTACAGACTTTTATTTCAAGATTAAATAAATTTTTTTTTAAAATTACTTAAAAAGATTGGTACAGTAAAGATTCCAATTGTGGAGCGTTACACTTGGTTGGCTGGCTGTATATTAATTAATAATTAACTGTATTAATTTGACTTTAAATATACTTTGTTTGTTTTGAAATGACTGTTTCTGTGTGAGGTGAAATAATGCAGGTTTCATACATAAAGCTTTTTAGAAATTGTTTAAAAACACATTACTTAGTTAATTAATAATTATAACAGTGGGCAGGTTTGAGTCCACCAGCTTCCAAGTTACGACTGAGGTGCTCTGAGCATGTCATCGTCCCCACACACTGCTGTTCACTTTGGTGATGGGTTAAAAGCAGAGGTCACATTTGGTTGTGTGTGCTGTGTCACAATAGTAGTTCACTTTTCATCACTACCGTCTCCTTCGGCTGCTGTATGTCCTCACATGCGTCCTAACCTATATACTGCAGCTGTGGCAGATTCAGTCTGACTGCCATCAGACACATACCATTGTCCATGAGAAAGTAAAAACATCCCAGTCTTTGAGGTTCAGTGGTTGAGACAGTTCCTCTTATTTGAGAATAACCAACCCATTCCTTTGTCTTTTCACACTTGCAGTGACCTCTCCAACAACCGCATTGGCTGTCTGACTGCAGACATGTTCCAGGGCTTGACCAATCTGACCAAACTGTAAGATGACTGATGTGAAACTGAATTCACAAAGACCATAGTCTTTCACTCACATGGGGAAACCACTGAGGTAAAATGTCCTTATCTCGTTCCTGTTCTTCTAGTAACCTCTCTGGAAACATCATATCCACACTGGATCCAGGAGTTTTCCAGGAGCTGCCGTCCCTCAAGCTTGTGTAGGTGTTATCATTTGGATACTTTTAATGATTCTTTAAGAGAAGAAAAAGAAGAAGAAATTTTAGCATGTATTTTACTATGTGCATATGTAGTTTTCAAATAATGATAAATAATAAAATTAATGACCATAAACCAATATCATGCCATATGCATTTGTCTAATTAAATAAAATAAAACTATATGTGGCTTTGTTTTTGCAGGAACTTTAATTCGGACTACTTGTCATGCGACTGTGGTTTGCGTTGGGTCCCAGGCTTCTTACGCATGGGTTCAGCCAGGTTGGGGGACGAGACCCTCTGTGCCTACCCCAGAAACCTAAGAGGAAAACCTTTACGTGGACTCAGGGAAAGTCAGCTGAGCTGTGGTGAGAGTCTGGTTCTATAGTCATTTAGCAATAATTACAAAATCTCACAATCTGAAAAGACACATTATCAAGTACATCAAAATCATATAAAATCATATACAATAAGATTATATCTTATTGTAATACAGTGATTATTTAAAAAATGGAAGAAGCTGGTGACATTAAACCTCTTGTTTATGAACTGCCAGCTGGTCAGACAGAAATAATGAGTCAATTCTTCTGTGGTTTTACTAGTCATGCTCTCAAACACTTGTGGTGTACTGTCTGAAACTACAGAAGCCAAGATATATGTTAGAAAATATTTACGTTGATTATTTGTATGACTTTAATTATAGATCTGTGGCTCAACATAGGGTTTTACTTTGGGCTATACTGTAGCAATAACAGTGAAGTGAATTTGTTACGCATATAATTACCAACACATCTGCTCACAGAGATGTTACGTACAAGCAAGACAGAACAAACAATTTGGAAATAAGACTTAAAGTTTTAACGTCATCATAGCTTGACCTACTGTGAGGTTGAGGAGGAGGATTTCTCTGGTTTTACCAATGGATGAGACAAAATGTTACACGCAGAAGCTTTTGTTGATTCAGTAGGAAAAAGGCTGAAATGACTTCTGTCTGAAGACTGAGGAAGGTTTGTCAGATCTGAAAGCATTAGTGAACAGTGGTGACAACTAATCCTGCGGATCACATTTATGAGGCTCTGCTGCATGCTCTCAATCCCCTGTTGGACAGCGGACTTGTAATTATGTCACGGAACACAATGAGTAATAAGAGAGTAGCGGTGATAAATCACTGTGACATGTAACGGTCATGTTTTCGTTTTGTTTTTTCTTTGCTGCTTAGATGGTCCTCTGGAGCTGCACACCCTCTCCCTGCTGCCATCCCAGCGTCAGGTGGTCTTCAAAGGGGATCGACTGCCGTTCCAATGCACTGCGGCCTTGGTGGACAAGATCACCACCTTGCACTGGCGCCACAACGGCCAGCTGATAACCTCTGACCCAGATATAGGGATCCAGCTGGAGAACAGTATGGTCCATGACTGCACGTTCATCACCAGGTACTGTGGCTGCAGCTGTACGACTCTCTGGATGAGATTGTTTATAGTTTTCCACTTACAGTTTCTTTGACCTTTTATTCATGTTCATCATTGAATTTGAGGTGTTAATGGTTTATAACAAGCTGTCCTTATCCCTCTTTATCCAGTGAGCTTATTCTATTCAACGTACATGTGGAAGCCAGTGGAGAGTGGGAGTGTGTGGTTTCTACAGGACGGGGGAACAAATCCCGCACTGTGGAAATAGTGGTGTTGGAGAACAGTGCCTCCTTCTGTCCAGAAGAGAAGGTGGTCAACAACCGAGGGGAGTTTAGGTCAGTTACATTTCCAATAATCTGAATGACACCTGCTAAAGATTTCATGGTGACATAATTTGTTGGATTTCACACCCAGGTGGCCAAGAACCTTGGCAGGCATCACCTCTCATCAATACTGCCTGCAGCTGCGTTACCCTTCTCTATCTGTGGAGGGCGGAATGGAGCAGAAAAAAGCCTCTCGATATTGTGATCGATCTGGAAATTGGCAGGACGGCGATTACTCCAACTGTCACTACACTAATGGCATTACCCGTGTTCTGCATACATTTATTTTGGTGAGTGTTGCTGATGCTACAGGCTTCACAATCCTCCATGTTACGTGTTTCTTCAACACCATACTGTTGTAGTTTAACAGTCAATGTTATAGCTTCCTTCTGACATTACTCTAACATCTGTCCTGAACTATTTCATTGTATGCAGACAGTGTTAACGATGACTGTCCTGGATGTGTCATCAGTTCTCTAACCACACCCTCTATTGGAATTCACACTGATGTCATGTCTGTTCATGGACAAAATCATTCCGACTCTAGATGTGATTGTTTGTGTCTGGCTAAATTTGGGTGGAAACCAACAGCATGTGAAGGAGCACTTTAAGTCCAGGCAGTGGCCGCAAATCAAATTAACAGCTGGACAACAACTCAGCAGCTGATCAGGGGATGGGAGATAAACAATGGAGTGAAAATCATGTATAGTGTTAACATATTAGTATGTTGGGTTTTCTCTGTGTTTTATCACCTTTCACTTTATTTGCTCCAGTAGTAACAAAAGGCTGGGTGGATCAGTAAATCACAAAAGCTCAACGTGCTTTCGTTTCATACCCATTGAAGTATATTTTAAACTTTTTACTTTACTTTTTACAACTGTGCACCTTGTGGTTGTGGTGCTTGATGACAGTACTCTGGGTGTATGCAAGTATGAGTGGAGGCCCAACAGAACATCAGTGCCAACAGTGTTTGTCTGGGACAAGGGCAGTTCCTTTTCACTTCTCTTGTACTGTTGAACTGTTTAATTATTTCCTGTCCACTACAGAAAATGTTCCATAATTAACGGGGTTTGTTTTTAATTAGAATGATGTTGAACTTTTTATATGTGAAGATTGAAAGAATCTTGGAAAAGCAAGGACTTTGGTGATATCTGATTGAATGGTGACTGAAGTCTATTGTTTTCTGAGGTCTAATCTGGGGACACATGGCAGAGTTTCACAGAGGGATATTAATACCAAGTCTGAAAATGATCAATGATCTCACAGCTGGCTCTCTTCTGCCCTGCAGAGGCCCATCAATGCATCCAACGCTGTCACTGTGGCTCATCAGGTGCGCACCTACACCCTGGAGGCTGCAGGGTTTACTGACTCTGTCGATGTGCTGTATGTAGCGCAAATAATGGAAAAGTTTATGGAGTATGTCAGAAACCTGAGGGAAGTAAGTGAGAGACACACTTCACATGATGTGTGTGTAATGGGATTTTTCTAGTCTGATGTTATTGTAAAATTTCTGCGTACTGTATGTGTTGCAGTTGTCAGAGATGCTGGTGGAGATGGGCAGCAACCTGATGCAGGTAGATGACCAAATTCTGGCTTTGGCCCAGCGAGAAAAAAGAGCCTGCAGCTCCATCGTCCGCTCACTGGAAACTCTGGCCTGGCCGCAGCTACACATTCACGCTCAGGACTTTTCCATGGTAACTATGCTTATCCTGTGTTATCAAGGTTGGAGGTCCAAGCTGAATCTACTCACAGTTACTCAGTATCACATATAGTTTGTTGCAGTGGGTCCCAAAGTAAGGGGCAGGTCTAACCGTGGGGGTGCTCAGCTGTTACAGGGAAGGTACAGAGAGGCAAAATAATTGTGCTAAGGCAGAATGACCAAATGTTTGAGGACCCCTGTGCTAAAGAGAGAACACGGGGGTCTGTGGTTCAATCTGCGGGGCACTGCAGAAAACTTGTGGGAACCATTGGTTTATAGTAACAACATGAAACACACAGAAGAAGGAATGTTGTACTTGTCTCAGGTTGTTCTTCAGGCAGAGGCTGACCCTCAGTATGAACTGTTCTGCAGCACGTTATAATGACTCTTACTGGGGGTGAGGTGTAGACTCTGCTGTGGCCAAACAATGTTTGGAAAAACTGATTCATGCTGCCTGTAAAATGTGGTCACAATGTGAGCCCAGTGAATCTTCACATTGTCATCTTGGACTAGGTCTGTGACATTAGGGAATGACGTTTGTTATGGAATAACTGGCTCATTTTATTTATTAAGTTACTCAGCGTTCTCTGGAACAGAAATTTGCTGAAGGTAGTGCTGGTTAATCTGAAGCGAACCCAGACAACAGGGCTGCTCCCATAGGCTGAGAGATACTGTACTCAAGAACACAAAGTTTGTGCACACACAATGCACGATGGGGAATAACTTTATACTCTTGTCTTTAGACCATATGGGCTTTTCTAGGGTATTCAGAAGTACACAACTACAGGATGATGTAATCTTGAATCACATTAGGGAACTGATGATACTATTTGATGTGGTTTTGGAATATTAATTCTACTTCTGTTTATTTGTGGTCCTGCGATAGACTGACAAACTGATGTAGCTTGATATGAATGATGTATTTTCTGTGTGAGCAGGTTTCTAGGAACATTGTGATGGAGGCCCATTTTATTCGACCAGCCCACTTCACAGGAATTACATGCACTGCATATCAGCGCCGTGAGGTCTCAGCAGGAGGGGCAGCAAAAGAAACATCCAGTTCTGTTCATGAACAACAGCTCCGGTTCCGCTGTAGCACCGGCTCCCACAACACTTCGCTGAACAATTTTATGCTGAAGGTGAGTCAGGAGAACATCCACACAAACTCTATCATAGCCTGTGTTAAATATAGGCTGGAGAGGTGCCTTCACTGTCCTAGGGAAAAAGTTATGCCGTAGAAATGTTTACATTTTACAAACTGTGTAGACACTTGATTGTGAATACATGGATACAGATCTTTAAATACTACATCTCTTAATATGTGTTTTTTTTTCTTTCTCCAGAATTCAGTAGCCTTGGCATCTGTTACCCTTCCACCTACTCTGTTTCCTCCTGATGCCACAACAGACTGTAAGCTTCAGTTTGTAGCCTTCAGGACTGGAAGCTTTTTCCCTGTGTCAGGAAACTCCAGTAACGCAGGGGAACATTTACGCAGACGTGTCAACACGCCCGTCGTATTTGTCGGCTTAGGTAAAACAACTTAACAGAAGATTTTCTTGAATACATGTTTGGCATTAATTTAATAGATTGTTTTGTATGTACTGTATGGTGTTTTCTTCAGATGGTTGCAGCAAGTGGAACCGCTCAGAGCCTGTCTGGGTGTCACTGCGTCACTTGTCTCCCGGTACTGATGCTGTAGCAGCGCAGTGGAGTGGAGAGAAGCCGGGAGGGTGGAGTCAGGAAGGCTGTCAGCTGGTCCACAGTGACAGCAGCACATCCACCATGCACTGCTCAGTTCTCGGCAATTATGCAGTTCTGCAGGTAGGACAATAAAGAGTTGTTTCATCAAATAATTTAATAACATTTAAGTTCTAAAGGTATTCTGACCAAATAAACAAGAGTTTTACTTCAACATTTTCTTTAGAAGCACCTACAACAACCTCCGTCAGAAATCCAACAATCTGCGTGAATTACTTTATTTCCAAATCAACACATCCTGTATAATAACTTGTAATTTACAAGAGTCTTACAACCTGTAGACTGTAATTTTAAATTTAACAAAAACTTCAGCATGTGTTACTGACAGCACAATGTTCCAGATTTCTTTTAGGCGACATCGCAATTTAATATTTTTAGCTGACCAGAAAAGCTTTGGGTTTTGACTGTGATGTAAAAATATAATTAGCATAATTCCAAAATATCAGTCAATGTCAAACTCTATTACATTTTATGACCACAGATGTTTTCTTTAAAAGAACATTCTTTGTTTTCATTTACGGTAAAAATCAATCATGCTGATAACTAAACTAAATGGCTTTAGTTAATATAAAAATATAAACATATAAAAGTCTTTGATTATTTAATCTATGATTGACATTGAACTGCTTTCATGAAAACTGTGACTTACTAGTGCATGAAATCGAAAAAAATACTTTTCTGTTTTGATGTTTTGATGTTTTGAAATCAAGGTTGAATTTATAAATGTATTTAGGGCAAACACAACAAAACATTTTCCACTTGCACTTTTCAGAATATGATTTCAGTTTTGGCTAAAACTAAACTGATGATTTGATGAAACCTGCATGTGATTTTTCTCTTTTCCTAGGAGGTCCCTGACTTTCCCAACTCCCTGCCCATTTCTGCAAGCGTGCTCCACCCTGTGGTCTATGCTTGCACTGCAGTTTTGCTTCTGTGCCTCTTCACCATCATCATCACACACATACTACACCACAGGTACTGAGGTACTGCTGTGTATGTGCAGAAAGACATCATCATCATCATTATCATCATCATATTTATTTATTTATTTATTTATTCACAAAAAAATCTGCACAATGTTTACCCTCTATTCCAGCTTCTATATGTTGAATTGCTCATCAACTGTTTTTTTTAACCCCTTGTCTTCATAGCTCTATTCACATATCACGAAAAAGCTGGCACACGTTACTAAACACCTGTTTCCACATCGCGATGACCACAGCCATCTACGCAGGAGGCATCAGTCTGACCAGTTACCCTGTGGTTTGTCAGGCAGTGAGTACTGCAAGGATTCATTCATTCCTTCATTGATTCATCCATTTATTCATATTACTATATATGTAGTGATTTGGAGGAGCCAGTTTAACTGTCATGTCTTGACAGGTGGGCATCTCTCTGCACTACTCATCTCTGTCAACTCTGCTGTGGATCGGGGTCAGCGCTCGGGTCATTTATAAAGAAGCTGGGTGGAGATCACCCCGGCAGCTGGATGGAGAGTCTCCCGCTCCACCCGCTCAGCGCCCCATGCTCAGGTCAGGGAGGACCTGCCTTCACAAACCTCCTTGTTCCATGAGGATTGTTGTTTGCTGTCAATGTGGTTTATGCTTTATAGACAGAAGGACAGACACAGGAGTTGTTGCACATGGCCACCCAAACAGCAACACTGAAGGCCACCATTGTGCAGGCAATAAACACAACCCCCTCTGTTTTTATGGAAACCTTTGAGGGACATGTGAGAACATTGCTGTGAGGCTCAACAAAAAGAGCAGAAAATCTGAGTGGAAGAATGTAGGAATGCACCATAACAGAGAGTGAGGGGGTCACTGTAAATCTATGCTGGGTGAATCTAATCAGGGACTCAGTGCTTTTGCCAATATTTCATTATGCCCTCCCACCCCCCAGTCACTCTCATACACTCCTGTGATCATGAAGCTGTGCCCCTAACACTGACCCCAGTGACCCTACAGTCACCCCCCTTTGTTGCCCACTCAAAAATAATTGAAATAAATCACTGCCTATCCTGGTAGTAAATGCCACCACGTCATTTTCTGTGAAGAATGACATAGCCCGGTTCAGATTGAGAAAGACATAAAACACTTGACAGGAAAATGTCAGAAATGCACACTTTACACCACCGCTGCAGTCAAAGGTCATGGGGCATCCTGTGGTATAAACAACAACAGCCCTTTATTTCTACAACTGAAGCTGAAGTCTTGTATTTGATTTGTCTTTCCTCATGGCCTTCTGTTATTTAAGGTTCTACTTGATAGCTGGTGGAGTCCCTCTCATTATATGTGGAATCACTGCAGCCGTCAACGTCAACAACTACGGAGACAACAGCCCTTAGTAAGTGCTGAAAGGTCATTATTTACATATAGTATACTTACTAGTAATACAGTACACTAGTAGTAATGGGATTGGTATGAACAGCAAAATAAAACATTAAATGTTTTTCATTGTTCATCTATTGTGAACACAAACTTCATTATTTGGACTTGTTTTCTACATTCTATGAGTTGAGTTTGTCTATGGTAATTTATAGGTTATATCTAGGTTATTGTACTGTAGATTATAAGAATAAGAAAAATATCCACTTAGCTATATTAACAGGATTATTTATCAAACACGTAATATTCTCTGAATATAGTACGTAGCCCTCAAAACTATGTCTAAACGTATTAACATAACATACTGTGTATCCTTTGATTTGAGGATGTCTTGGGAAGTAGATGAAGGGATTTTTTTATTTGTTTGCAAACTTATGGCAAATTGGCAAATGCTGTTTCTTTAATTGTATTTAAATGTTTGGATAAAATATATTCTACACAGAGTGGCCCTTGTTTTGCTGTGACCTTCCTGACTCCTGTGTGCCTCTTGCAGCTGCTGGCTGGTGTGGCGCCCCAGTCTTGGTTCCTTCTTTGTTCCTGCCGGCCTTGTGTTGTTGGTGACCTGGATCTACTTCCTGTGCACTGTGTTTCGCCTGAGGCACCGTATGGCCAAAGAATGTACAGGAACTACCCTGTCCTCTCCTGTGACTGAGAGCCAGCCGGCATTAGCAGGAAGCACCAGCCTACTCTCCACGGACTCAGTGGTTGGACCCCTGAACACCGCTGTGGCCCCTGAGGATCAGTACTCACTGAAAACGCAGTTCTTGGTCCTGGTGTCCACTCACTTTCTGTTTGTAGTTTTGTGGTGTTGCGGGGCTATGGCAATATATTTGACGTGGCACCCTGGTTTATTGTTCAGCTGTCTCTATGGGCTGGCGGCCACAGTTTTGGGGATGTTCCTGGTGGTGCATCACTGCTTTAGACGGAAGGATGTGCAGGCGACCTGGTTGGCTTGTTGTCCAAGCTACCGCCGTTCCCATCCTATGTCCACTTACACACACACGGGCAGTGGAGTGCAAACGTCTGAGCAAGGATCCCATCTTTTTATTAACTGTCATCCACCTGCTGAATCTCATAACTCCTCCTCAGCACGGTCATCATCCACACCCAGTGGCATCAGCAGTGTGGGCCCTGGGCCCTGCAAGCTCACCAACCTGCTGCAGGTAACACAGGATGTTCCAAATAACCATTCATCGTCCCGCGCCCCCGCAGCCAACAACACCAGCACCAGTACTGACAACATCACCAAGCCAGCCAACAATATTTCACCTGCCAATAACACTGCAGCTCCAGTGCATCCGCAGAGAAGGAAGATTAGTAGCAGAACTAAACCAGGGAGCAGTCAGTATCACCACCGGAGTGAGGGAAGGGGGCACTATCGTCTGAAAACTCTAAGGACTGCGGCAGGTGGGGGTAGCCTTGGCGCTTTAGGACCCACAGGTTTAGATCACCTCAGTTCTTCACATGGAGTGTACAAACAGGCCACCAGTGAGAACGGCAGCATTCACCACAGCCTCTCGGAAAACCAGGCCAGCCCTCTGACAAATGGCAAGAGGGTGGAGGGAGAGTCTTTGGCCACCAGCCCCTCAGAGGGAAGCGACGGGGGCAGCAGTGGGAGCCGCAAACCTTTCCCCCTGCTGCCATCCATGGCCAGCAGGGCGGCCATGCACAGTGCTCAGAGACGGTGTGCCAGCAGAGACAATTTAAAACTGGCTGCCACTGCGGAGCGGGACACTAAACGCTGCTCTTATCCCTTGAACAGCACCACGACCCCGGTGCCCGGAGCTGCCGCTGCTCCAAACGGCACCTTAAAAAAGTCAGTCTTGGACCTGGAGCAGGACATGAGTGGCACTGACCAATCCCAGGGCTCGGTGGGTATGAGGAGTGGTTTGTGGAAAAGTGAAACTACCGTTTAGAAACCTGTACTTACAGCATATGTGAACATCTATGCATGACCGTAATGAACTGTTCAAATGATCAGGTTATGTATTAATGGTCTCTTAATTATAATAATTATATAATTTAAAATGTAAAATTATAAAGGCATCCAGGACCCTAAACTGGTACTTTTGCCTTTGCAGCGTTGCAAGAATTTTCTGTGATTTGTGATTTTTTGAAAAGAAACTCTTTTCTTTTTCTTGTCATTTCAAACATCACATATTAAATTTATCAGTTTCAAAACTGTTAAAGAATTCCTTCTAAATCGGCATGTAATGTCATTTTTGGATGTCAAATGAAAGCTTAATGTTTTAGATGTGATTGTTTTTCTATGCATATCAACTATAGCATGAAATAGGATGCAAAACTAAGTGAATTTCCAACATTCAGCTTAATGCATTTAGTCTGTGGAGACATCATTCACCCTTTTGTTTGCTTCAAGTAATTTTGGTTGCTCATGTATGCACTTGTGTGTGTGTGTTTGTGTGTGTGTGTGTGAGTGTGTCTGTTGCACAGTGTGTGTATGTGTGTGTGTGTGTGCATGCAGACACTGTGGAATAAATAAATAAGTTGTGGCTGTACAGAATTTCCAAGTGAATTAAAAAGCTATGCAAGAGTTTTAAAATCTGCTGAGTATGTTTCATTGTTTCCAGATTACACCAAACAGCAGTGGTGAAGTTAACAGAAAATTATAAAGCATTTTAAACCAGCGTGGTGGTCGGTCGAGGAGGTTCCAAATGCAATGAACTAATTTTTATTTAATTGAGCAAAATCCTTTTTTGACATTTTTTTGATGTGTTCAACCACAGACCAGCAAATTACTTTGAATTTCTCCTTTTGGACCTAAAAATGATTATATATCTCAGTAGATTAAGAGTTTTTTTTTCTTAAATAGACAGACAATAACAATTGTAACTAAAACTCATGCCACATTAAGAATAAACTAAATGATCTTCTTTCTCTGTTCATACTTCAGCTAATCCTCGACCATATCTACACACTTCTGTGTATTCAGTTACTGCATTGTGATTGGCCAATTTGCTTTAACAAGCTGCTGAAATGATAAACTAAATGAAGTGAATATAGTTAAAGTAAGTTGTTGTGTTTAAGAGAGATGGAAATAAAACTGAACCTGAAACTACAGAACTATTATTAGTCAGTTTGATAAAACACACCATTCAGGAAATTGCATTACCAGGAAGCAGGTCTACTATAAAACCTACTGATACATATTTCCCCATTGTTCTTAAAGAGGAAGTCCACACAGAATTCAGAATATATTCATGTTTGCATAACATTACATTTAGATCTACAAACTGTTTTATAGTCTTTATTGAATTTGAGCTTTTTCAAACCAGCCAACACAATTGTATTTTTGACAGTGTAACACCCATTCTAACTGTTTTATCATAAGTTACTCAAATCAAATTGTCCTGTTCTTCAGAAAAAGAAAAAAAAGAGTTTGGAATCCTTTGTTCACTGCTGAAATATAAAAGTATATTTATGCAAAGGTCTTTCACGACTTGGTTGTAACTCGTGGTTACTATATGGGAGTCTCAAGTATGACATCAGCATGTGGGTGTGTTTAAGCAGCACAGATAATGTCCAATTGAAGTAACTGAGTGCACCTGGGATCCGTTTCTTGAAGCTGGCTCACGAAACACTGAGTTCATGCTATAATTCTGTAATTAACAAGGATGAATAATCTTCTCATCAATACTCACGCATTCACTCTATCTGCAATTTGTTACCAAACCTTTTCACTGTCTTCTGCGGCTGTGACGCTGTTGCCCTTTTTATTTTACAGCGAGTCGTAATCGTTATAGACATGCAACAGTATTTCTTGCTCCACTGGAGTGAAGCAAAAGGTGCGGGACATGACAGGGTTAGTGTTATCTGCGCTCAATTCATATGTAATCGGGTACAAGCACCGCTCAGTCTTAACTCAACTCAGATTTCCGAGAGCCAATTGTAACCCGCTTTTGTGAAACCGGAAAGTCAGAGTTGGACCTCTCCGGCTTCCAGAATCTAGAGCTGTGGCATTAACTCGGTGTTTCGTGAGCCTGCCACAGACACACAGCCTGGTTTGGTTATATTATTTTCAGTGTATCCTTTAGTCTAAATACTGGAGCATTTGGCTATGATTTAATCTCAGGACACTTTGTTTACCTGATTGCAACAGACGTGAACACATGAGTCAGGCTCTAGCTTAACAACAGTAACATGGGTGCTGGCAATATGTGCACGAAAATAATAAGCTGAGGGGCCTGGGAGCAACAGTTGATACAAACAACTGTTATGTTAAGCTAAACCTTACATTTAACCACCCGAGGTAAACTTTTCAATACTTGTGTTTGAAATGTTCCTTTAAGTGAATAATTCAGTTTTCATATTGTACAATAAAATATTTTGTGGTACACAAATTCCGTGTTTCATAAAACCACAAGCACTTTCAATTGTCACTGTAGTGTCTGACATTAATCTACACTGAATGCTGATCAACTGAAACCTTAGTTGTGTGTGAAATACAGAACCTGACTTAGTCCTATTTTGTTTCAGATTCCTCGCTGTATCCTTGGAGTAACCTAGTGCCATCTGGTATAATTTAGGGCACTGAATAAACATACTGTTCCTTGGCTTAAACCTCTTCCCAAAACAACATAATTAGTTTTGGTTTACCACAACAGTCATTCTAACAAACATATGAGCCTTTTAGATTAGGTGTAGATAAGTGGTTCTCAAACAAGGGCCTGGATCCCTGCCAAATGATCTATGAAATATTTTCAGGTTGATTTTTCTTTTTTTTTAACAAGGCAAAAAGAAGAGTTTGTTCTTCTTTTCTTTATTAAACAGATTGAAAATAAAGTTGGACTACAGAACTGTTCAATAATAATACTATAATACTGTTAACTATGTTAAAAACAAAAAAGCACGACATAAAATACAGTCAGAATAAAACGGAGGCAGAGAGACAAACTAAAGATACCTTTTATATATTTGAAGGCAACCTTTTCCAAGGATAAGGAGCCACAGCTCCTTACAGATAAAGATGTCCTCTTAACTGCGTTTAGGAACAAGCCATCACAGCTGCTCGGCTGATATCAACTCCTAATACAAGACTATTTAGGCATTAAACAGATAGTACTTTATTAATCATGCAATTCACAATGTAAGCCAACAAGATTATTCAACAAGACAAGACAATTCTCAAGTGCAAAGGCAGTCGACTTTGTCAACAGAAAATTTGGAGAAAGTTGTCAAGAGTGTTGGCACTGGCGGAGATTTTCACGGCTCTTAAATGGCTGAAACCTTTAACCACATGGTAGCTGTGGATTTATCACGATTAACCATGATTACTCAAATAAATCAACACTCCTAAATATAACAAAAGTTTTTTTCTACAGTATATATTGCTGGATCAGAAAGAGGATCACAGCAGGCAAGTGTAGGTGTTTCACTTTTTTTATTTGTGACTAATCCAAAGGATGGAATTATTAACATGTAAAAATGACAAAGAAAAATATATACATATATGCAAAGGTTCAACTATTTAGCTTCATAGAATTTTAGTAGATACTGTGCATTTTACTGGTGGCTGTTGTTCTCAACGATATTAGTGAGTGAATAAACATATAGATAGATCTTTCTAGCAGAAAAATAAATAATTATTAAATCAACAACAAAATCGGATTATAAATTCATTCAGATCCTTAGAACATTAACAGCAGTAAAATAAAAAATATTTTAACCTGCTTTTAAAGCAGCTTTTGCAATGCACGCTGTGTTTAATTCTCTTTAATCGCTGACTAAATGATACATATGCAAATTGCTTGATTTGATCACAGTAGAAGGGTCGAACAACAGGAGAGTGAATATATTTTGGCCTAATCCTGTTCAATTGCTCGGGCTTTGCAACAAATCTAAAAAAATGCATAAATGTAAGAGTTAGTTTAACAAAAGTATCAGCAAAAATAATTTTCACCGCAATTTTTAAGCAGAAACCCTTTTTTGTTAAAAAAACAATGACATTTAAACTGACTTCAGATCAGATTATATCGGTACTTAACGGTTCGCTGTAATTTAACGCCTATTTCCCATTCACCAATCGTTAACGCTCTTTGAAAAAATGACAGTAAGATCAGCCAATAGGATCGAGTCAAACAAAACCTGGAAACTCACAACAAGGAAGTGAACTGTTTAACTTCGTATCGTAGATTTAGAGGTAAAGTGTTTTATTAAAAGTATTTTAAATTATCACGTCGTCCTTGACAACACGGATGTCCTCGTTTTAGACAAACAGGAGAGCAACAGTAGTGATCTAAGTTTATTCTGCATTAAAGGCTTGTGGCGTTGATGAGAGGAGGGGAGAAGAATGACGACATCAACCTGAGCTTCCTGAAATGAAGTCAAGCTCTGTAACCTAAACCTAGACCAGCACACAAAGGACGGCGAAGGTGAACCACAACACAGGAAAGGTTCGCCAGCACTTCGACAGTATTTAAGAACGGTACTACGGTAACGAGTAACTTTATTTAGACATTTGCATATAGGAGTCATGTCTTTGGTGGACCAGAGCCAGCAGTGGTTTCCTACGAGTGTACAGGTAACGGTGCACCAAGCTCGTAACCTGCGTTTCAAGGGCAAGAATGGGACCAACGACGCCTTCGCCATCATCCAGGTGGCCAAGGACAAGTTTTCCACCTGTGTGGCCGAGAAAAGTGTGGATCCAGTGTGGAAAGAAGAGGCTTCGTTCGACCTGCCCCTTTTCCACCCGGGCAACGCAGAGCGATGTACACTGTATATCACTGTGATGCACCAAGCCAAGGGGGGGTTCGACAAGTTCCTAGGTCAGGCTGTAATCAACTTAGTGGACCTTCATGAGAACAAGACGCGCAAAAAGACAGAGTAAGTGACGCAGCAGTACAAAACCAGAAATATTCATGTAAAATTATCGTTATTTTTGTACAGAACTATGATACTAGCTATCAAGAATTAAGGGAAACATTGTTTCTTTTAATATTTTATAATTAAATGTGAATATGTATATGTTAAAATGTAAACAGCATGACATTTAATTTGCTTGATAAATAAATAACATGACCACCACTAAGACATTTATGTTAATAAAATCTGTAAGCCAATATTAATAATTTTTAATTTTTAGTGTAGTAAAGAGTAGATGTTAGAAAATTATTGTTGTTGTTATTCACGTTTTCAGGGCAAAAATAAGTACACTAACAGAAAAAAAAATTTACATCATGGCTCACAGGGCTGATGATGTAACTGATGACGTCATTGAGAAATGTTTATTAAGGTATTTAGGATAATTGTTTTTCCAAAGTTGCCATACAGCTAGGCTGTTATTAAAGGTTGTTGATTAACAATTAACTTTGTTGCCAGCTCTGCTTATTAACTGGTTCAATTTAATTGTAGATTACATGAAAATTAGCATCAAGATCAAACAGAACCAAACCTTAGACATCACAAATCTAGTTTGCTTCCCCTTAGTTGGTATTTTAATCAGTATATTGCTTCATCTGCATATTTGTTTGGATGTTTGTAATTAAGCTATTTTATGGGTTTTATTTTAATGTATCCCATGCTGAAACAGCTACATGGGCCGTATGTAACACACAAACTTTATCTTTAACAACAGTGACTTTCAGGAAAGATAAAATGGTGGTAAGATTGAAAGGTTACAAATGACATGATGTTACACATCATAGAGAAAAAAGAGGGTTAGACCCTTGTGCAAATACTGGCCACACCAACATTTTCTTAGGTAGTATTATTTTTATTCAGTGCACAGTGCTTATGTAAATATGTGCCTCACTGTCCGCATGTGGAACTAAAAACTTAACGTTTCGGGTTTTTAAAAACTTGTTGATATACTCTGAAGGCAGCACTGAGAGACCTTTGCTCTGAACTTTAGAGGAAATAGAGTGCGTTATCGGGAAGAGCCAGCCCATGTTGTGTTATGAGTAGTACATACAGAAGAATAACCTGGTTTACTCAGGAGAACAAGGTTTGAGAAGGAACCAGAAGCTTAAATGCAAATAAACCTGGGCCTGACTGAGGGAAGACAACATTAGTCACATTCAGCAACATATCAGACGTTTAACTTGGATTTGTCATTGTATTGAAAGATCACACAAGGTCTATACAAAATAGTATCTATTCCTTTTTTACTCTTGAAGCTGAATGACATTAAAGCCACATTATAAAAGTAGAACTTTCAGATCAAAACCTCTGGACAGTTATCAAGATGTGTATTTATATTATTTTTGATTCATTAACTCTCTAGTTTAAAGACTTAATCTGTTGTGTTTATTTCATCTCCATAGATTAAGTTGAGGCAAACAACAAATAGCTGTTTAGGTCAGAAACATTTATTTGCCCTCTTTTTTATAAAAAGCAGAAAAGTAGTTAAGAGTAATTGATCATGCTGACTGATGTGTGTGTTTGTTTGTTAAGTTACATACTCCACTTTGTATTTTATGCATCAACTTATAAACAGGGGTTTCAAGACTGAGTAATTTGTCCCTCCCAATTTGTATCAGTGTCTTCAAGAAAAAGAAAGTTGGTTGAAAAACAAACCCAGACAATTCAAGTCTCAGCAGTTCCCTCTGTCTCCCATTTGGCCTGCAGTTCCCTCAGATCAATCTTTGGCTGATGCTTTGCTTCATAGTCTGGTGTGACGCCAACTCTGCCTTTGACGGCCTTCAGGATGTAGCCAGTAGCAAGTCTTCTCACATTGTTGCACATTCTTTCTCGTCATTTGCCATTTAACTTCTGCACACACACCCAGATGTGTGAAATGAGTCAGGATTACCAGTGTGGTTTGACCCAGTATGGGTGCAACATGGGCGTAACAGAGCTTAAAAATAAAAAAAGTAATTAGCATTTAACTACAGTAGGAATATTCACACACCCCATTGAATTAGACGGATTTAAAACAGAGTGATGGCTTTTAATAGACTCTGTCAGCTTTACCCAACCTGAACCAGTTGCATTATGTTATTGAATCACACGAGAGATCTGTTTGTTTCTTTCATTCTGAAATGACCTTTGGTAAAGGCAGAGTGAGCTGGTGACTGTGACTCAGCCCAGTGGACTCACAGTATCTGGAACGTTATCTTGTTTGCACAGTGTGCTATTACACTTTATGAGAGGATTTCAGTCTTTGTCTTTCAGTGTGGTCTCCTTTATGATGATCCCAGTATCTGTAGGCCTGCTATTGAGCTATGCAGTATTTTCTGTCCCACGAGTGCGGTGTTAGATTACTACTCCCAGCGTCACTGTTATGCTGATAGAGAGACATTTAAGACCTTGTTTTTCTGCCTGAAAGGGAACTCCACAGTTGCCTGTATTACAAAGGAGTTCATTCATATGGGGAAAAAAGGGATGTAGTGAATAAGATTTGATTCCATCACTGTTTGTCATTTCCAAAATGTCACAAAATAAGAGAAGAACACACTAGAAAGAAAATAATGTTACATACTGTTACTTTAATTTTATGATTTTCTTCATCTGACAGATTATTTACAATTGTTACTCATTGACTCTGGAAACATATTAACTGTATTTTGTCAAATATTCATAAATACTAAAACACATTTAACTGCAATTTAGTGCTCTTTCACAATAATCCGAAAGATCCTCTACATATATTCTGTTTTGACAATCATATTTAATCAATTCTAGTCAGTAACCCTGACTATAAAATGTGTCCCTTATTGATGGCTATGATGTGGAGGATGTTGATGTGGTTTTGCTGCTAATGTTGTACCAATGTACCATGCATGTACCCATACACCTTCAGAAAGGTTTGAAGAACATGTGTACAATAATTCTGGATGATAGGCAAAATACAGTAAGAGGAGCACTCTGTAGTATTTTTTAGTATAACATAATTTTTCTGATTGATTGGAGTCAAGATTGTAGTCGCAATTTGATTCATTGCACAGCCCTCCAATGACACTTGTCCTAGGTACTTAGTTAGATAACGTTTCTTAGGAGAACCAATCAATCAAATGCTCTGTCTGTAGATTCTGTAGAAATAAGAGTTGAGAGTCTGTAATGCCAAGATCCAAGCATAATTATTCTTGGTAGACAATCTTTACTTCTAAAATAATATCAGAATCTGAATTAGAAAACTTTGGACTTATACTAATCACTGACAGACTCTCAGACAGGCAGGCCTAACCACCATCATAACCTCTTTGTTGTAGGTAACCACCACAGAGTACATTGTTATAATGGCAATAAAAACAATCTGCTTAGGCAAGGCTACTGAATAACCGAGGGTGTGCATGTTCTTTTCTGTTTAAAGCACATGTGAACCTGCAGGACTGGTTCCCCCTGTTAAAGTTAAGGTCAACCTTTTTTCCATGTCTAATGGTTAACAAGAGAGGCTAGATTATGAACGGCTACGACATTTTACCTACTACCCACCAAATGGAACAGCAAAGCAAAGTAGTGCTGTAAAAATCATTGCAATAATATTGTTAATCTTTATTTTATGAATCAGATTAATACACACTACAGGAAGTTTTTTGTTTCTCCCAAGCATCAGAATCTTACCACCACACCACCCACCATGTCTTTCTGTAGGCTTTCATTTTTGACTATTGACAAGGGACTGCAGACTGAATAATTAATTGATTGTTGGGAGACAAGTAAGATGGAACCATGCAGGACATGTATAAGGCCAGCAAGACAGTGGTTACTTGTGCTGTCACAGTGAATCATCGGTTCAAGGTAGGGGTGAAGAAAAACCAGGGATCAGCCCTAAGCCCCTTTTGGTTTGTCATGGTTGACGTACAGGTTAATGGATGGGGTCAGGCAGGAGGCTCCATGGACCATGGTGTTTGCAGATGACATTGTAATGTGTGGTGACAGTATGGAGCAAAATTCTACTTTACAGCATAATTTATTTGTTTCTCACAACTTGGTAAAGTAATCACCACCTTTTATACTTTTCCTTCTAAGCTGAAATGGACAGTAATTAACAAATGATGAATTTACCTCTTTCTAGAATAGAGTGAAAGTGTTGAAGTTTTTGAACAAAAGAGTTTGAAGGGGAGCGGTTCTCTCTAATGGACAACTCTGCTTTAGCAATACTCCATGCAATAATAGTTTGTACTTATTTATACATGCTAAAAGCGTTTGTATGTAATAGTGCTAGGTTGTTCGGCATGTTTTGTTTGAAGCATTGCTACAAAGCTGTAATTGTAAGGTTTAATTTGTGGTTGGTATAGTTCGCCCAACAGCAACTGGAACAAGCTGTACACTGATTAGTGACACCTTACCAGCCTCAGGGTGAAGTATACAGGCCCCAGTAATATTACATTTGAAGAAGTATTTGAAGTCCGCCATTAAAATGTACATGTGAAATAATTATGTTTTTAGAGTATGAAAAACCTCAATGATATGTCAGCTCCAGTGTATTGTTTTAACTTGGTGTTACAAAATTCAATTTTAAATATTTTTCCATTTTCTGTGTTGCAGTTGGTTCAAGCTGGTGGAGAAAAGTGGAAAAGAGGACAAGGAGCGGGGAGAGGTGCTGTTAGATATAACCTTCATGAGAAATAACATGTCAGCCAGCATGTTTGACCTTTCAATGCAGGACAAACCCCGGTCACGGATCTCCAAACTAAAGGACAAGGTCCGCGGGAAGAAAAAGGACAGTTTCTCTGACTCTGCTTCAGCTATTGTCCCCTCGGTCAGCCAGGTCCTCACCGACAGTGAGGGTGAGGCAGACGCACAGTCCCTCAATCAGTCATCAGGAGTGAAAAAGAAGTCAAAGCTCAAAACGCTCTTTGCCCCCAAGTCTAACCTTCACCGCAATGTATCACAGTCTATGTCCACTCTGGGTACTCTTCCAGAGAAGAATTCATCTCTGAGTGGAAGCCGATCCTCAGGCCTCAACATAGACTCTCCTGAAGGTGAATGCACTTCTTTTCTGTGCAGCACACAGCAACATAAAGCATGTAAATAATGATAATAATGTGTGCGCTTTGCATAACACTGACACAACATGTCTCTGCTCCTCCTTCCACAGCTAAGACAAAATTCAAAATCTTTGGACACAAGCGAACGGGCAGCTCTGACAGCAGGGTTTCTCAGGGCCCCTTCTCCTTACTGGGTCGCTCCAAGCAGAGCAACAGTGACCAGAACAACCTGTGTATCAATGGCAGCCACGTGTACGCAGAAGATGCAGAGACCAAGAGTGGATCTACAGTCAGTCTGAACAGTGCAGGTTCAGGAGAAGACAGACACACCTTTGATATCTCTACTGGTCCCTTTGGAAATGTACCTGACCACACCCACAGGCCTGAGCCCACAGACAGAGCTATAATGGAGCAACACCGCCATCAAGAGGAAGAGGCGAGAAGGCAGGCAGAAGAGAGTCGAGTAGCAGAAGCAAAAAGGATGGAAGAAGAGGAGAGACACAAAGTACAATTGAGGAGACTGCAGGAGGAAGAGGAGCGTAGACAACAAGAGGAGCAGGAAGGGAGGAAGAAATTCCTTGAGGATGAAGCAAGGAGGCAAAAACAAAGGGAGGAGGAAGAGGTGAGAAGGAAAGAGGAAGAGTGCAGGGAAGCTGAGAGCCGCAAGCTTGAGGAGGAGCAACGCAAAGTAGAAGAGCAAAAGAAACAGGATGAGGCGTCCATGAGTGACAGACTGTCGACTCTGTTTGGAATCATCAGAAAGAAGGAGGATAAAAAAGAGGAGGTGCAGCAGCACCAACTTAATCAGAAAGTGCCCGCTCCAACCCCTTTCCATGAATTAGGGAGTCCTGAACCACAATCCTCTCACCACTCCACCAACCCATTTGAGGATATTCCTCTCAGCTCAGATAATCCACTCAGCAGCACTGAAAGTCCAAGTGATCATCAGAAATCCAGTCCTAATGCATCAATACCCTCGGCTATGGTTTTCCTCAACCGCACTGCAAAAGTGTCTGCAGTCAAACCCAGGTACAGTAGTCCTTTTAGTCTTATATGCTACGATCTTGTTGTGTAATGCTGTTATGTAATGCACTTGTTGTTTACTGTAAGGTGAAAGCACACAAACTTTTTATTTTTGTATTTTATTGTGCTTTTGGTTCTTGCTTTTGCACCTCACTCTTAGTCAACATTCTGTCACAACTTCTGAAATGCAAAAGTAGTTCGAGTTCGTGTTAAAATGTTATGTGTGATGGCAAAATAAATACAAATGTGGGAGCAGACAATTGTTGTGTGAACAACAAGTGCTAAGAAAATCTGTGGCACAACCACAAAGTGCAGCACATGTATTCAGTGTTAACCTTGCATAAAGTTTCATTCTACTGAATGTCTGTCACTACTGAAACTTGGACATAGCACTCTCCACCCTGCTTCCCTTTTACCTGTGACAGAAAATTACCAGAACTTTTAAAGCCATTCAGAAGCTGATGGACGTGTTGGACCAGTTTGTTCTGTACTCAGAGGGAGTCTGGGTGTGGCTTGTGTTTGTGAAGATGTTGCTGAGCAGGTTGTTGGACTGCTCATAAGGACTGACTCGGCCTCAGTGTGACTTCCTGTGTTGATGAATGTGATCAGGCTTTGTTTGATTTTGTCTATTTTTAAATTGGAAGCTGCTTCCCAACCCAAAGGTTTTTTTTAAACATATCAGCAAAATGGTAAGAATTGTGATTCTGCTTATACTACTGGATTTTAATTTGTGTTTTTTACAAGGAAGTGTAAATGGCAGAGAACATAGGTAATCTAGTGAGTATTTGATGGTGGTATATATTCCACTGTTGCCTACTGTTTTAGTTTCAGAAGTATAAAGATAATGAATTGCATCAAAATACTATCCTGTGTAAAACAGACCTAAAGTAGACATTTATTTGTGAGACATGGTTGTATTAATATGGTGTCTAAGATTGATGCTTTGTCTGAGTAAATCACTTGCCTAATTTATTTTGGCAGTCTTGTGGTGCTTTGTTAATGCTACATAATTTTGGTCTTACTATCTAATATTTAGCCAAATGGGAAGAAGCTGTGTAAAGTCCGATGGTAACTGAAAAGGGACAGGTTTGGTTACATATTAAATTTGAAGTGATATGTAGGTTTAAATTGGTGTTGGGCTTCACATTGGTGGAAGTGACTTCAGATGATGTGATGGTCACACTGACCCTTAGGCTTGTGTTTTCACTCCAGATTGGCTCAGTCTCCGGAGCCTGAACCACCAGATCTCCAAATCCCCAGTGAACCTTCTCCTTCCCCAGCCACCCCAGAGTCCACCCTCTCTAGTCTTTCCTCTGTATCCCCTGACCTGTTTGCTAACCTTCACTCATTGTTGGCTCCCCCAAACTTAAGTCAAAGCCGGTCTGGTTCCCCTCGTGAGAGCATAGAGAATTTGTCACTTGTGGAATCAGACGAGTCGTCAGTCATGGCAGACAAGAAAAGGAAAGCCCCCCTGCCACCTGTCTATCCTGCACCTGGCAACCAAACTGCAGGAAATGGCATCTCTGTTGAAGCCGATGGCTCACAAGGCAAAAAAACCTCTATCCCACTTCCTGATTACGAAACCCTCTTTCCACAGAAGAGGCATGGTGTTCAGGGACACACCCGGTGGGATCATATTATTGCAGAAGTAAACCAAAAACACAGAGACTCTGGTCCTGTGCTTCTGGGCCCTGAGATGAGTGTTGATGGCCCACAGGAGAGGCAACCAAGCCCGAGGTCGTCCATATCACCAGACAGTCTTCTCTCAAAGCATTATCCATCACAGCCTCTAGAGACCAAGCATGTTGCATCGAAAAAAGGATCCACACATCTGCCCATACCAACCACAACGCCACGTCATCAGTCACCGGCCGCTTCTACACAAAGACAAAGCCAGGACAACTCTCAGCAGTCTGTCATGAGACCCTCTTATTTTGCGGAGCAAGGATCTTTGAACACAGGTATCTTGGATGCCGATGGTTTCTCTGGGTTGTCAAGGAATGGCGAGAGGAAAGCATTGCAACCACCAACCGCTGCAACACAGGTGTCTGTGAACAAAGAAGTGCCTACTGCCAGACCCAGACAGGTAACTAGAAAAGAGTCGGACAAGCGAGAGGAGTCGCCCTTGATCCTTGACAAAAATCTAAATGGTAGCACTCAGAACTTTCCTGGAAGTGTGAGAAACGTGGGCACAAGGACAGAAAATTTTGGTGACTTCCACTCATTGGACTTTCAGTCCAAAGATCCATGGGGCCAACCTAAACAGAATCAAGTCAACGACCCTTTTAGTGACAACAGTTCAAAAGAGAAGAGACCTGAAACCCAGGGAATGACAGCAGATGATCTTGATCAAATATTTGGTCAAGAAAAGCCTGCAGATCCCTTTGCTGGTTTCAATGGCAGTGATTCAAACACTCAAAGGGAACAAAAGTCAGCTGACGATTCAATGCCAATGAGTTTTCATGTTTTTCAAAGAAGCAACTCGCAGAGAAAAAAACAGACATTGGCATCAAATACTCAGTCGGACAATAAAGGTTTACCACAAAATGAACAACCAACCAAAACCGGAGCTACCCAGGCTGCAGCTACTAGAGATCTCATGAAAGAACCCACAATGCTTCAGCCTCAAGCTGATGACCAAACCCAAAGCAGTTATTACAGAGGAGATGCTCACTTTGCAGGCGAAGATTTTTTTTTGTCTTCTGCGCCACTCCAGGTTATTATGGAGGAACCAACAGGAAGTCTGTCAGGAGGAAAGACACCTTTACAAGCATGGGTGTCACCATCTGAGGTGCAGCCCACCAGTGTCTACAAGAGCACCGGTGGTGGTCTAGACTTGACTCCACGCAGGTGAGATTGAAGAGGGTTCATATAAGAAACACATTTATGGACCTTCTGTCTAAATTTGCTTCTGTTGAATTGGGAGGCAGATAAGGTGTTGGGATTTGCCTTGGGTGTGATCGGTTGAAAGCTTGTGATTTCTCCGGCCTTTCTTTTTACTAGGTTAATGTGTCCAATGTCACTGCAGGGTTTATATGAAATTTCTTTGAATCTACGAAATAAATTGCAAAAAACCTTTGACCCAAGGTCAGTGTGGTTTACATGTTTAAGTAATAATGTTTTTTTAATTGTTTTATTGTAGGCCTCATCCTGTGAAGCCTCTGACGTCAGTTGAGAGCCAATTTGCCAACAGTAGCCATTCAGTAAAAGACATCAGGATTCAGGGCAATGCACCTGGAAAGATCAAGGTATGGTGTGACATGAATAACACTAAAACCACATTTGTCTTTGAAATGTTACATCAGAGCAATATCCCTGCAGCTACAACCAATCAGATACTGCTACACATAAATAATGAATACACATCAGAAACATTTAGAGATATGTGCTTTGGACCAATCTTACCAATCGGAAAGTAATTGACACAGTGAACAGATTTTTCTCTAAATCAATGATGCTGTGATCTACCAGGAGATCAAAGAGGAGTGATGGTAGATCATGAGCAAATAAAATAAAAATAAATATAATTCTATAGTGTGTAGTAGTGACCATAGAATTAAAACAGATTGTGTCAGAGAGTAAGAAGCATTTAATCAGTAGCCCAACAT